TTGCTGTGTCTTGTCGTGTTGTCACACGCACATACGTGCCCGTACTTGTGCAAAAAAAGTGCATATCCACTTCGCGAAGGCTCGCGCTAACATCTCGTGTAACACGTTGCGCTGGTAAGGTCGCGTAAACGTGCATGGTAGCGGAGCCCTGCGGGGCTGACTGGCGTCGGTAATGAACGGTCAGGCGCACGAGAGCCCAGGCGCTATGGAACGTGGATTTGCAGAGCCACAGATCTTCCAGGTGCACCGCGTACGCCACCCAGTCAAGGCAGCAGGCAGTCGCAGCACAGTGGTCAAGGTTCTGAACGCGGAACAGGTGCGCAATCAAACCGGACAGGAAAATCCACAGCAGGCCGCAACAGGAACAAGGTTCACATGTACATGCAGCAACACCATCACAACGTGACCGGGACACCATCATGACTGGAACACCATCAAAACATGACGCGACACCATCACAACATGACGGGACACCATCAAAACATGACCGGGACACCATCCGGACCGGGACCATGACTGTGTCACAATCAAAACATGATCGGGACCCATCAAAACATGACCGGGACACCGTCACAACACGACCGGAACACCATCAAAACATGACCGGAACACCATCCCCACATGACCCGGACACCATCGCAACATGACCGGGACACCATCACAACATGACCGGGACACCATCATCAAAACATGATCGGGACACCATCAAAACATGACCGGGACACCGTCGCAACACGACCGGGACACCATCAAAACATGACCGGGACACCATCACGGGACACCATCACAACATGACTGGGACACAATCAAAACATGACCGGGCCGCGCCACCATCACATGATGCGATCACTGCCTCCCAGCCTTTGTCAGATAATGTGAAAATTTGGATGGATGGCGAGCATCCCATGGTGAGCACTTTTGCACGTGGACACTTTTGCGCATGGACGCCTTGAACGTGTGCGCACAGGGTGTAGCTCTTTGTATGCGCGACATCATCAATGGATGACGTGGAAGCCTTTTGGAAAGCATAGCTTTTTGCTTGCGCGAAATCATCTACGGATGATATGGAAATGGTTGTTTTGCACCACGAGCACATCCTCCGACGGGTCCTCCGAAGGAGGTATGTTTGCAACCGCACATTTTAGCACATGTTGTAATGACGGTGTCTCGGTCTTGTTTTGACGGCGCCCTGGTCATTTTGTGATGGTGTCCCGGTTATGTGATGATGGTGTCCAAGGAAGAGATGGTCGATGTGTTGAAAACAGCAGCTGTTTCCAGATTTCCGGTTTGTATCTTGCTATTGGGGTCTCCGGCTGGGCTAATTTTCGCGCTGTTTGAAGCTTTGTGCACTTTTGGACCTGGCAGGTTTTGTCACGATGAGTATCTTGCTTGGTTGAACCTTGGTTGATTGGTTGATCTTGTTTTGAACTTGCTTGAAGCTTGTCGTTCTTGATTTGTTGACGTTTGATCGACCTGGAGACCAGTTTGGACCACAGGAGTTGAGATCTTAGTTGACGCTCGAATCTTAGTTACTCAGAGAAAAACCAATTGAAGAGAAGAAGAAGACAGGAAGACCAGGAGAAGGTACGAGGTGACCCAAGAAGAGGTGTGAAAAGTGTGGGTGGCACGCCTGTACAGCGTCTGGATCACCTAGTACCTCTGTGTAGTGGAACTTTTCGTTTTTCTGTCCTTGGGGTTGGAGCTGAGTAGGGATCTTCCTCCTTGGAGTGTGTTCTCTTTGACCACCTCAGCAGGACTAAGTGGAATGTGACCAGAAGTGGCTAGGAGCATGTCTAGAGAAACCCTAAGTATAGAGCTGTAGTGCTTTGAATGAGCTGTGTATAGCCTAGCTTTGCTTGAGAGTGTTTGGAGATGCTGTCTTGTACTTTGAGTATGTTTTGGACGACCGTGACCAGTCAGACCTCTTCAGAGAAGAGTGGATGAACAGAACATACAGTCAAACCGACTGTAACGTTTGGCTCAAGAGCGGGATTCAAAAAGGGGTCGCGCTCGCTTCCGTGTTTTCACACCCTTGGGGAGGAGTTGACATCTGCCGTAGGGAGTGCCTTCCTTCGCAACCATGTTGATCTTAGGCTGCGCTGCTGAAACGGTCACCGGCAGCTTGAAGCTTTCGGAAGCATTTCGCAGTGGTTTTCCTGGTGCCTTGTCGATTCCGTCGAGCGAGCGCCTTTCTGTCTTGCAGGACTTCGCCTGGCGCCCGTGAACACGTGACCGTAAGGTTGGCTTACAATGCTTGCCAAATGCAATTTTGTCCACAGCATCCTGTCTCAGGACGCCTCGCTGCCTGCAATGAAGAACTAGGAATGAGTTGAGACCTCAATAAAGCAAGCAGCTCAACACTACCTTGCGGTCAAGATGAACTGAGGGCCGGTGCTGAATTCATTGCCCCTGTTTCACCAGCTTTTCTTCTGGTCGACACGGCCGCTTGAGCTGCGTACCAGGTTGCGGCTTTCTCGGGGTTGGTTTTTGTGTGTTGTTTTGGTGGGTTTTGTTTGTTTGTTTGCTGGTTTTCGTGGTGTTTGCGCCGCAACCTGGCTGGTAACTCTCTCTTCACTAGCGCAAGATGACCTGTGCAACCTCTGCACACATGGCGTCTCCACCCGTGCAAAAAAAAAGGCTTACCAAGTTTCACCATGTTTCACTAGGGCCTTGCGTGATGGAGGCGAGTCGGTTGAAGAATTGGATTGCTATCCTGCCAGGATAGCACATTGCACATTTGCTGCGCTCCTGCAGGCTTAGCTGTTAAGGAGCTTGCTCAAGATGTGCTACACCTGCTCCCTCTGTTCGAGGGAGCCACGCCAGGCGCCGGAAGGCGCACTTGAAAGCAATGAATTGCATAGGCAAACTGCCCGCTGCAGACCACAGTTTTCCCTGCCTTCGCAATTGCTTGGAACAATCGTGACCAGGTTACTGCTGTTTTCCAAGGCCAGACCTTCATTGCTCTTCGATCATCGAGCTTTTGACTTGCTGAACTCCTAGGGAACTTCTCAGGCTCTGCTCAATATCAGTAAGCTGCAATCCAACTAGAGCACTTGCGCCAGCAAGTGCTTGTGATTTGGCCTGTCCACACACAGGCCGATCGCGCAAACAAAGCCTCTTCGCATATGAATCGACTGCTCTCAAGAGCAGCTTAAATTAGAATTCGTGGCCCAGGTAGCAAACAGCCGCAGTTCCCGTCTCACAATGTCTCATTTCAGATGTACAGAGATGAAACTCCGATGATCTCGCTCGTTGTTTTTGTTTTGGCTTTGTTGTTTGTTTGGTGGTTTGGGGTGTTTTTTGTTTGGCTGTTTTCCCTCTTTTCGCTTCTTGATTTCGCGGAGTTTCCTATCTTAGCAAAAGATGACCTGTGCACACCGCACACATGGCGTCTCCACTCGTGCAAAAAAAACAATTCGTTGCCCCATGTCTCACTTCTTCTCTTTCGTCTCACTTTTGCAAGACCCACTTGAGTTGCAAGTTGCGCGCAGCCAGGAAGTCTTCTCGTTGTGTTTGGTCTTGGGTGTTCTGGTTCTGTTTGGGGGTTTTGGTTTGTTTCTGCTCGGTTTCCCTGGTTCCGTCTTCCTGGCCAGCAACTCAATTATACGCAGCACAAGATGACCTGTGCAATCTCTGCACACATGGCGTCTCCACTCGTGCAAAGAAAATGCCAAGGTTCACAAGGACCGACGGGAATTGCCTGTTTCATGCGCTGGCCTTGCACGAAAGCATCGCCGGTCCCAAGCTAAAGACCGAAGTGATTGGAAGTCGATGACCCGGCCCCACGTGCAGCTTGGGCTGAAGAGGCTGATCTGATTGCCCAGGCCTTTGCAAACACAAAGCCTTCTCTCGCTCATAATGTGGTCAACTCATCCAGGCCCATCAACAAAGGCAAGAATAATGTCAGCAACTTCGACTTGATCCATGCTTTTCGTTTGCGCCACTTCAACGCCCGATTTATGTCTGACACCGGTTTCACCTTGCATGTGCACTCAAGAGTCTCCTGCTTCTTTCTCTGTTTGGTTGTTGGTTTGTCGTTTTTGGGTTGTTTTGGGTTGGTGTGTTTCTTGTGTGTTTTTTGTTGTTTGGCATTTCATGCAAGAGGCTCTTTCAAAAACAGCACAAGCTGACCTGTGTATTTCCTGCATAAGCGGCGGCTCCACCCGTGCAAAAAAACAAAAAGACTTTTGACCTGCATTTCGTGCAGATGTGAGACTTGCAGATGTGAAGATGAGCAGAGATGCAGATGTGTGGATGTGAAGATGAGCAGAGCCGCGTGCAAATGTCGATGAAACGTTCCACAGATCAACGAAAAACCCTTCGCAGATGCTCTCGGGAAAAAATTGCACAAAGCAGTGAAGCAGAATTGGAAGAGTCCACTCAATCAGGGCCAGGCTCTGACAAGGGACAGCAAGTATCGCTCCACTCAGGCATGGTGGTGAGAACTCCAACTTCTTCCAAGCAGGCAAAACTGACAAACAGCAGTGGAGCTCCCCAAGCACATTTGCGGTTTGAGCCGGATGGTGAATTTTGACTCTTCGGAACAACAGCGCCACGCGGTTGGGTCTGCCATTTGAGAGATGAGACTTGGACAGTTCTCAGTCAGCTTGCTTTGGAAGTGCTTGGCCACTGCAAGAGCAAGTGCCACGGCCTTGCTTGTTTTGATTTTCTCAAGCGGTGCTAATCTTTCGTTCAACAGTTCTGCCACATCATGTGTGTGGCACGTGCCGGAACATGCTTTGGAGCACTGGTTCAACATCACTTTGACCTCACCACGAAGAAAACGTCATGGCCTTGCACCGCTGCGCGGGCGCCATCCCGTTTGCTGCGGCATGGGGAAGAGTCATTGATCATTGCTGGGCGAGCTTTGGATGCGATGGCAATTTGTGAATGCTAATTTATTTTTCTAGCACACAAAATCTCAAGAAATCAATTTCAACCGATAATTGAGTCAAGACTGCTGCGCTGTCTGCAACACACGTGTTTCCATTTCCTTGACCATGCACGTTTCCTACCTTTCGCATTTTATCCTTTTTAGAGGTCGGGATCTTGATATGAGTTTTGGGTTTTTGAAAAACACCAAGCCTGTCTTTTTTTAGGTGGAAACAAAGATGTGGTGGCGAACATGTTGAGCAATGTTTGCAAGGGTACAGTTTTTTGCATTTGTATCTTCAATTGAAATTGAACAAACAGATTGACATAAACAACCAAGTAGTCAAGGCAGGCTGCAGAAAATCAATCGTATTCTGCCACTAGGAACAACTGCAACGAGTGAAAACCATACTATTTGTGTTTTTTGTGTGACTTGTGTGGCATTCTCGAGTGTGTGGCTCGAGCGATTTTCTGATGGCCATGGCATTGCCTTGTTTTGTGGGGCCACAGCGCTCACTACCAGGCTAAACTGCGACAAAGGTTTGAACCATTATACAAAATTATATTTAGTATGACACACTGTCAAGGTTTATGTCAGGACTATGTCACCATGTGTAAGCATGCTCGCATGATCTTTGTGTTGCAGCCAGTCGAACATGAAAAGACAAATTTAGGCGCTATCAGTTCAATATTGCTCTTCAGGCCACAGCTTTGAGGGCTTTGCCTTAAAGGGCAAGGGCATTAACAGTGGAGGGATTGGCGAGAGTTTTCGGCATCCCACCAAGGCTGGACCAGCAAGCGACTTTTGCAACAAAATCAACAATTGTAGCACCGCCGCTGTGTGTTTAACCTTGCCGCCTTGGTAGACTTCCATGTCACATATTTTTAGGTGCCAGTGCTTGCAAGGATGCTGGCCACAGTGATGGACTGTGTAAACTATGCACTGGAATGGCATTGGGTGGAGCATGTGCATTGAGGGCTTATGGAAAGGCAAGTTTTAGACAAATTGTTTTGTGTGGTGATTCGGCGACATGTTCTGATTCTGATGTTTGTTAGATTGCCCTCACACATTCAGCTGTGATGCATAACTTGCTGCCTGTGTGTTGACAGGGCAGAGGCAAAGGCAGCGGCGCGTTCGGATGGCAGGCAAGACGAACAAAACTTGAGGAAAACTGGTGTCCAGATTGTATATCCAAGGATTGCCGAACGTTGATTGGCATATAGTTGCGAGCAATAGATAGATGCCGCAACAAATAGATTCATCACTTCCTGATATGTACTCTGTTCCATGGACAGAAACGCACTTGACAAACTTTGGTTTTATCAGTGTTGACGACTAGGAACATGGCATGTTTGTTGTTCCTTGCTCAGGACCATCAAGGTGGACGCGGATTAAGTATCGAAGCAGCAACAAAAGCAAAGCGCGAACGGGAGGCTCTGCACAATGATGGTTTGCATGATGGTAAGTGCGTGTTGAATGAGAAAAGACTTACACAAATTATTGTCTATATATATATATATACATACATATACATTGCTTTGAGTTGGCCTTTCTTCACTCGAAATTCGTGTGAGTCGGTTTTGTCCCGGATTCAGGTTCAAATGTTCCTCCAATACCAGCGACGTCTCGTTGGTTTTTCACAAGGCCACTGCGTCGGGGCGTTTGATTCAGAGCTGAAACCGCGCTGCCCAGACAATCTCAAAAGCACAGGTACAGACTTTTTACGAAAAGCCAGCCGATAGGCTAGGCTTGAGCTCTTAAACGAAGTGAGTAAAGGGGGTGTGGGGAAGGGTAGGCAGCGAAAAGGCACCATTTGAGAGGGTGAACCCGGAGTTTGCCTGGGAAGAGCGCTCCAAAGCGAGGGTCAGAAAAGCAGTGAAAATGGAGTCTGGTGATGCGAGTGATGCAATGGCAGCATCACGAAGGGCTGTGGAGGCTAATTGGACAACGGGCATTGAGCACTGGAGTGGAGACAGGCACCCATGTACAGAGCAACCATCGTAGTCTCTGCTATACTCGCGGCGTCCACGTGCACCGAACGTTGTTCCGGCTTGGCCGCGCAGCTAGATAGATACAGAGTAGATAGATCGATCGATAGATCATAGATAGATCATAGATAGATAGATAGATAGACAGATAGATAGATAGATAGATAGACACATAGATAGATACTGGTTGTATGTATTGGCGCAAGTATGGTTGTTGGTTGGCAGCGACAAGTCACTATCAGAACAGGGGCCCGTGTAGATAGCAACTTGGTGGCGTGAAGAACTTGCTGCTTAAGGATTGTTTATAGTCACGGATCTGTGCCATATTTTTAGATCACGGTTGGTGACACCAATGCTGCGACAAATAGTTCCTGCCATCCTCCTAGTCATCCTGTCAGAGAAGTCTCCTTGGATGTATTGGGGCAAGTATGGTAATTGGTTGGCAGCGACAAGTTGCTATCAGAAAAGGACCCCGTGTAGATAGCAACTTCTCTGTGTTTGATGTCTCTGTCTTTTATGACTCTGTGTCTCTATGTCTCTATGGTTCTGTGTCTCTATGTCTCTGGGAAGAGGGTGTAGCTGCGACGTATGATTATTTTTGTGCGGATCAGTGGCATAAGCCGTAAGCCCAAGGAAAGTCCCCAACAGCAAGAAGCGCCACTGAGACAGTGTCTTCGCTGTCCAAGCCCTCCTCTGGAGCCTTGTTTGCTTTGGAACCTGCTCCGGAACCTTCTCCAGAACCTCCTCATGGACCTGCCCCGCAACCTTCTCCCGAACCTTTTGCTATGTAGCAAATGACCCTCTCGTCTGGCAGCTGCTGGCTTTCATTCCCCCCCTTCTCACTCAGCAAAAGTTTTCATTTATTTTTGTATCGTCTGAAGCAAGACTCCAATTTATAGAGGCATTGACGAATTGACCTTCGTGCCAACTCTCCCTCTCCACTTGCAGGTGGACAACATCAGAAAAGAGAGGATGAGTGGAACTTTGAAGAGAAGAGGAGTGGACAGAGTTCAGAATTCCTTAAAACTGAAGCTGTGGAGAATGGAAGGATTCGTGAGGATTATTGTCTCAGGCTTTTCAAGCAAGCACACGTCTCAGCTGGAATTGACTTCGACAAGTATGACAACATTGAGGCTGCGGAAATTGCTCATGCTGAATTCCTGAGGGTTGAGTCACGGCTGCTTGGCTGCTCATAAACACAGCAAAGCAGATAGATGCAAGGTGACGACGCATGGAGGTGCAAAAGATGTGACCGCGATCGAGACGTTTCAAGAGGCTGGCCTTAAAACATGTGCAATAAGTAGGGAGTATTCAGTTGCAAAATGTGCATGTCTGAGCTTGCATCGTGTGTCAGGCCTGCGAGAGATACTCTTTGCCTGATGAATTGACTGCCAACATTCAACGTTGTGGCTACGGAGTTCCCACTCCTGTGCAGAAGATTCTTGCCGAGAAATCAATAGATATCAGATTTCAGGTAGGAGATTTCATCGATTCTGGATATTGTCAATGGTGATGTAGCCATTAGTGATTTAATGTAGATCGGTCCGCCGAACAAGGAAAAGGTCGGGGGCCAAAGGCCATTGCGTGGTTTGGCAAAGTGGGTTCTCTTTCAGATTATTTTACGTCGAAAGTGGCCAACAACCCGATCCCTAAGATTGTTGCAAAGGAGGTTTGTGACAACGACAACGGTGAGGGAAACTCAGGAGAAAAAGAAAAGAAACTGCTGGTGAGGATGAACCTTTTTTGTTGAATTCATTTCGACCAAAACGCTGAAATTTGTGAGGCACAGCATACCTGCGGTGCTCGAAGGAAATGATGTGCTGGTGACCGCGCAAACTGGAAGTGCCACAACGCAGTTTGAGGAATCAGTTGTTGGTTTTGTATAATTTCAGGCGTCAGAACAAACATGACACTATAGAGTTGTACAAACACACGTTTTCCATAATTAGAAGCCATACAGGAATAGCAATCGGGTGGAGAATTGATGTGACCGGCTTCAGAATAGATTAGCCACCTCATCTTGCAAAAGTCTGTGACTTTGTTCTTAGCATTCCACTCAGTGACAACATTGAGCTTCTGGCAAAACCATGTTTACTTGTATGCCTCGCTGCAATCTCCCAATCAGCTCTTCATTGAACATGGAGTGAAGCAAAGGGTCTTTGAACACGTAGGGGAGTGATGCATGTCGTTTACAGCATTGAAGGCCTGGGATATTGAACATGGAATACATGTAAAGGTCACCTTCATCATTTTTGTTGACCTTGATGCAGACACTGAGGTGGGAAGACAGCTGCCTTTTTGATTCCAATCATTACTGCAGCGTTGAAAGCTGGTCCCAAGCCTGCTAAGGCTAGAAGGGGGTCGAGCGAAGGTTTGGTGAAAAGAAGTGCAACATGTTGCAACATGTCTTTAAAGGCCGTTTCAGTCCGGATAAACTTGCCTCGTGATTAGATTCCAAGATGACTATATAGACACCTGCTTCACGAAATAGCCTTTGCATTCTTGACTGGAAGGAAGGCGCCGTGTGCCCTACCAGCGTGGTGCTGTCACCCACCCGCGAGCTCTGTCAGCAAATCACAGTCGAGGCTGAAAGGCCAGCTTTTGTCTTTGTATTTCCGATTGGAAAGAACTCTGACTGTTTGGGGTCCAACTTGGATTTTGAGTTTTGCATTCTTGAATCGTTCGCAGCATTTCATCGGACCTTCGATCTTTTGTCAGGCTGACCTTTCGAAGCGGTGCACGTGTTTGTGCAATTTATGGCGGAGCCGATGCTATTCCACAACTGCGAAAATTTGCTGGGGGCATCGAGATTGTGGTGTGCAGCTGAGCTGCAAATTGTCGGCCAGTTGGCCTTCACCGAGCCTAGGGCGATCGGTGTACCTCTTGATGTCTCCATGCAAAGGTTGCCAGAGCGCGCATGAGTGGGATTGTTCACAAAGGGATCTTGACTTCAACCACTGTAGATGGAGCAAAGTGAACAGGACACGCTATAGTGTATTGAATGTTGATCTATAAACTGTACTGTATGTATATATATATTCTTAAAATACGTTGAATGACACAAGAAGCAGTGCATTTGTTGACACCGTGCTGAGGCACTCCTGGCCGACTTGAGGCCAGTGTGTTTCAGCCCTAAGTTGTGCGCAAATTCAGATAGACGGATTAGATGCGGTAGACTTGTTATGACTTATTGGAGTATGCCTTAAACTTTAGGCCGCTATTAGGTTGGAGGCCATCGCCATTAGGTTGGAGTATGTAAATGTTGGAGTTATACTGCTTGACGCTCTTAGTGGAGCTGCGTTGGAGGACTTCCTGCAACGTGGTGTGTTGAGCATGAAGGAGGCAGGCGGTTGGGCTGGGATCAAAAACCCGCAGCTGGGTTAGCGGGATTGCGGAGCATCGTGGAGCGTGCGGTTCTTAGTTTTTTGCCAAGACCATGTCGTTTCAACAACAAGGTAGCTGGATATTATATATTTTGTGGCAGAAGGACAGCAATGAACCAAGCTCAGGGATAGTATCAGAATCTGAACATTCAACTTGCGCTCCTTTAGTTGAAGCTTGACCTCCAGGTAAAATTCCTTGCTCTGGACGAAGCCGATCGCATGCTGGACATGGGCCGCTCGGTTCATTCGCAGATGTGACTTCTTCTGCTTTGAGCTGACCGCTGACACCAAATTAATTTAAGCAATGACGCTGCTTTGATAGTGTTGACTTTGCTCAAGTTGGGTCTTCCCACAGACTCCTGCGTGCTGAGGATTCGAGCCGCAAATTCGTGAAATCATTGAGAACCATGGCATGCCGGAGGCTGGAAATGGCAGAGAGACCATGATCCTTGCCTGGGTTAACGGTTAGACTCTAGACTTCTTTCTTCTGGATTCTGGATGCCATCATGGCTTGTTTAAAGCTGGTTGTACGATTGATCTTGGCAAGCCAAGCGCGGAAGTCTCAAACAACAAAACAAACTATATATAGGTTCAGGTTTTGCGATACACACTCCTTAGTTTCTTCACGGACGCCTCTGGTCTTTGCGAAGAATGCATGGAACTCATATAGCTAAATGTCTATGCTAACCTAGCTCTTTACTTGGCTACTTGAACTTAGCTACTGGTCTACGCCACATTTTGGTATTTTCCATCTTTCTACGCCCAGCGTCCCACGCAGCACGCGCCAAGCTGCACCGCACCCACGCGGCGCCCAGCGTCTCAAGCAGCCAGCTTTCACAAGCAGCGCGTTACATTCAACCGTGCACATTCACGCTGATTTTCGACGGCGGCTACACTGTACACTCGGCAACTCTTCACTTTGCTATACTGTCTACGCAAACTCTTTTTTCTCTGCGCGGGACTTCCTTGGCCGAGAGGGTTTCCAGAGTGCTCAGGATGTTCTCCGCCACTTTCCCATCGGAGATCCAAGAGTTGGCCGGTGATTTCCTGGACTCGAAGTATCGAAGCATTTCAGTAGGCTTCGCAGAAAAAACGTCAAAAGGATTCAAAAAGGTCAAAAGAAACGTTTAACAACAAAGACAAGAGTTATTAAGTGTTTTTTGCGTTTCATGTGCACCAACTTGTACCTTTACATTTTCTTCTCCTCATGGCGTCAAGGCTGCAATGATTTGTGTTTAAAGTCAGACAGAGCTTCACTCTGCAGGCGCAGTTGGTGCAACAACCAGCAGTGTGGAGCAGCGCTTTGAGTTCCTGGGTGCACCAAAAGTCAAAACTCTTACGCGACTCCCATGACCTGAATGGGTTCGATCATTTTGCTGTGTTTGATTCAGGAGTATTGCTCGTCGTTTTGCAGTCATTCCACACAGCGCCATGTACATAAGCATGTGACACCTCTAGCCACGGAGAAAATAAGAGGATCCTTTCAAGGGGGATTTTCTGTTATCTATCTTCCATTGCTGTGTTGAATGCTTCTAACGTTTGTTACCTTCGGTTCTCAGTGTGAGCGTTTGCGCTGCACAGGGACGCGACCAGTGCAGACAAATTCGAGCTTCTCCTGGACGCATTGAAGGAGGTCGGTCCGTAGTCCTACAGAGTTTATGGCACAACTTCGTTGTTCATAAAGAGTCCCTTTTCAGCCACAACTTCGGTCAGTTCTAGATTCCAGTCGAGCTCAAGGTCTGGATTTCTGAATTCTTCATGTGTGGCTCACCAGGTTGAGGGCGAGCAGGGCGCGGCAAAGACCATTGTCTTTGCAAACTCCAAGGACATGGCGACTTGACAATTGAAAGCGCTGAGAACCTCCAAATGATGATGATATTGACCACCATAGTACAGAGGTGAACCTCTCTGGATTTGGAAGAGAAAAAGGGAGGGTGGCCAACCTTTTCCTGCGTTTCTAGGTTCTGAGACATCCTGTCATTTCTTGACTAACATGTAAACATCGCCATTGCAACTAGAACGCACCTCTATGGCAGCACGGAGCAGAGGTCACACAGAAGTGCTGAACCAGTCCTTCAATATGTTTCTGCATTTTTGGCCTTAGCCTATCGAGGTCGATGACCTTAGATACCGCCTGAGAGACAGCCGTGTTCGATGCACCAGCATGCATGGAGGCACAACATTTGTTACGGAAGACTTGAGACCTCGCGGAGTTGAACTGACCTCATTTCAGTTTACGTATTTCATGGCAGAAGGTCGCGTTCGGGCTGAAGACGAATCAAGTGCATGGGATTTGGGCATGCGATTATGCGACGAAAGAAATTGCAGTGTGTAGTGAGCGAGGGCCCTGGTCACCCTGGTCACTCCAGGTGTCAGCCAAGCGCAACGTGATCGGGCTCTGAGCGATCTCAAGGGTGGCCTTGCCAATGTGCCTCAGCCAGACAGGCAATGACATCATCAGGGCTCCTTTTGGTTCCCTTCGTACAGATGTTCCTTGCCTTTTTTGTTTTAGAATGCTTGTTCCATTCCTTTTTTTCATCAGGTCTTGGTAGCCACTGATGTCGCTGCCCGTGGCCTTGATTTGCCCGGAATCGACCATGTGATAAACTATGATCTGCCACAGCAACACGTCACAGGTTTGACTTTGTCTGTGGAATTATTTGGCTTACAATTCTCATTCTCATGGGCCATGGGTCGATTCCCGCACTGCTCAGGAACGCAGAGGACTATGTGCATCGTGTTGGCCGAACAGGCTGCTCTTGCATACATGACATGCTTGTTGTTTGCTTTCAAATGTTTTTTTCTCTCAGTTGTAAAACTTCAGGTGGAACTGGAATCTGTGCACTTGGCCAAGGTCGTATTGGGAATAAGGGCGTGGCCACGTCCTTTGTTGGCCGCAGGGAGCCCGCACTGAAGGACTGGCTGGATGCTGATGCTTTAGGCTACGGCTACAAGGGACATTTTGACGCTATTTTAGTGTTTCAGGCCGCCGCCAGAGGTAGCCAGTAGTAGCTTGGTAGCTAGTGGGGAGAGGTAGCTAGTACCTACAAGTAGCTACCAGTCAGGACGCAGCATAGCTCACGCTTCTTCAAGGAAGCTCCCCCCGCCGCCCTCAAGGCGGCAGGGGAAGCTTCCTTGAAGAAGCGCTCGCACTGTCACTACTGTAATGATTTGGTTCCTAGGTTTTTTAGGAAAACTTAACTAGAAGATTGCAACCATGACACAACATGACCGTTCTTGTTTGATTTGGTTGGGGTGGATAATCTTTGACAAAGCCTTCCCGAGTCTGAACTTTATTTTATTCACACGCGGTCGACGAAGTCGAACGGCACATGGTGGCTCTGTGGTCGAGCGGCCATGCGTCACCAAGC